GTGTATCAAACGCACTCTCGCTGTAAATGTTTATCTCAAGAACAAATTACCTGTGCGTTATTTTCAAAGCTCAGCTCCAGTAAACCTGGGAGCATTAAATAAAATCTGGACATCGGGCATAAGAAGGATCCAGAGAAACAAATCTAGATATTTCCTGCAAAGCTTCAAAGAATTTGATACATACATGTATACCGATAGTACCAGCTTAGCCCTCCAAACAAACAAGGTGACATCACATGGACAATTTTCACAAACAAATAATTTAAAATAGATATACCAAATCTTTATTCTGTATTATAGGATTGGTTGGCTGATTTTGGGAGCCAAGTAACCGCGAGTAAGTTGGATGATACCAAGTTAAACCTTTTGAAGATTGATCATAAATCTGGCTGTATAGATATACCGGTATGAACATCAAGGAGGCGTAATAATATTACAACGATCTACTGTTCTTCAGATTATTTTCTGACAACTAAAGGCCGGGTCACACTGCGCTTGCGACATTTTTGCAACCACAAAATCTGGCGGTCGCTTGCGATCACTTTCCAAGCTAATTAGGAAGCTATGGCCAATTTTGATCGGCAAGCAGTCGCAAACCGGTTGCAACAAGTTTGCAGTATGGGATCTGCAACCTCTTATAGACCATCTTCAAGTTATAGGTTGCCAGTCGCACACTGTTTGCCGAGCGATACACAACCTGCCTGCAACCACTTGGTGACCGAAACCGGTTGCAGGACTGTAGCAAGCGCTTGTCAACTAGTAGCAGCAAGGTCGCACAGAACATATATGTTGCCAACTTGTGACAGTAGCTGCTTTCCCATAAATCCCCCTCTCAAAAGCCAAAAATGTTCTAGTAAAACGTCTCCTTTTCAAAAAGACGGGACTGCTATAATCATTGACTTTGTTTACCTAATAAGTAAAACGAGCAAAAAACTCGAAAATACTGGGTGAACCCGTGGATTGCAAGACGCCCCTTGTAAGGCGATTACAAACATTTGATGAAAGAATTTCGACTTGAAAATCTGGAAGTTTTCATTTCCTTCCTACAAATAGAACGAACAATGTTTTGTGAACTTTTGAAAATACTACACCCTCACCTAACGAAACCAGTGCTGTATACTATATATAATAAAAACATAAACTTGCATACGTTTTAATTCTTATTAATCTCATAATACTCTTTAATATTTTCTTGGTAAAATGCTTGGTCTCTTTGAGGTCGCAAGGCCTGTGCAGTTACGGTCACACTGAATAAAAGAACCTCTTTGCGACTTGCAACTGTCACCGGTTGCAAAAAGGTCGGCGACCGGTTGCAACAACTCCCAAAGTGGTTTCCAAATGAACGCTGAGTTAACATCCGGTTGCACCGGTTTTCGGTGCAGCACCGATAACCTCCTGGCGACCGAAAACTCTACTTGTGGTATCCAGCCGGTTGCTAACAGGTTGCCGACTGCTTTGCAACTGATTTGCAACCGAATGTGTGGTTTTCCCTTTGTCTTTTTAACCCTAGGCGTTTGCAACTTACAATAAAACCTAATTAAATCGTGTCAAGTCATGCACATCGTGTACTTTTTACACTCTCATACTTCTAGTGAGGATACCAAGCACTGGAAAGATGTTAAATTGCTTGTGTTGAAACTATTAAAGTCTATTGGACACATTTTACGATTTGTTCAATTATTTGTGGATAATTTTGATTGTTGAAATTATCATATTAAATAGCAGTTATACCTTGCTGATTGAATTGCTTTTATTTTCCGTTTCTCTGCATTTGTGTATTTATTTCATTGTTTAATCTGATCACATGGCTTTGCAAATTTTAAATAACATACAACTATATATAATTGAGGTTTTCGGCAAAAGGATAAAATAAATAAACGTAGCGTCAAAAAAATCGTACATTGCTTTTATCATCACATTTATTTATTTATTTATTTATTTATTTATTTTNGGCAATTGGTATAAGATATTGCCAACAAATGCAATTTATGTTTTCTTTTTCTAAAATATAATAATTTATGACCTTGATATTTAGAAGGCTTGCATAACAAATTATGAAAAAAGTCTTTGCCCAAATAGACCACCATCCTACGCCTATTTCATTGCAATCGCCTGCGATCGGTAAAAGACCTGTTAGCGACCAAATTAAGATACTAAAGGCCGTCAATCGACTATGCAGTTACAACTGCAACCTTCTAGCTACCTGCTGCCGACTACTTGTAAAAAACTGGTAAAAAACTTGCAAGCGACCAGTCGACTAAATACGGTCAATCGACCGTGCAGTTGCAAATGGTATGCAACTGGTTTTAACAACCTACTGACAACCAAGAAGAGACCGATAGGCAAACTTTAGGATACCGATAATTTTCATCTTTAGTCGCACTGGTTGTCGGTGCACAAAAATTGGCCTTCATGTGTCAACGATCGCAGGCGACCTGTTAGCAGCCTTATGCGACCACTTTAAAACCTATGGCAACCTCCTTGCGACTGAAGTTGCAGAGAGGTTGCCAAAAGGTTGCAAGCGCAGTGTGACCCAGGCTTCTCTTTGCAATGATATCACAAGTCAGCTAAGATACATCAGTTATAACAAAAATCAATTCACTGCATGGCTGGCACAGACCGCTTGGGTGCACTGCGCAATATACTTTCAAAAGGTTTCTAGCTCATGCAAGCCTTAACGCATTCTGTACACTCACAAACATTTGTTACCAGACGGGTGCGGGCGCACCAAACGCATTCTTCTGCGCATTTCTAGAACTTCACAAAAGGGGGTCAACATTGCCCTTTAAATGAATAATTAAATAAATAAATAATCCAACATTTTTCCAATAACTCCTGAAATTAGATATAGCTAAAAATAACCATACAAACTTCTCCTATACGCTTCTTTGCTCGCCATACATATTTACATATGAAAAAAAATCAGACAAAAAACTCTTCCTTTACTTTCCTCCACAAAACCTCCACCTTTACGCTTCTTTGCTCACTATACATTACATTACTGTCTTCACTCTAAAAACACCTTGAATGGCGGATGGTACTGCATATTGCCAATATTTCTGGATAGGTGTGTGTTTTCTAGAAAAGAAAGCAATAGGTTTCCACATCCCTGATTGAAACTGAGAACGTTCTGCTCCTATTGCGGTGTCAGAACACTAGTGGGCTTGATTTAGTCTTAAAGTGCAATTTAAGAACACAAATATTCTGAAATGATCTCAAAACATGAGTAAGACCATTTCTAGTCTGGCAGCCAATTAAGTTGTCTACCCTTACACATTCTCCTATTGTGAGCAGAGGCGTCCTCTATTGTGAGGGGAGGTGTCCCCCATTGTGAGGGGAGGAAACTGCTTGACCACTTAAGTAGATGTTAGATCATTTTTTAACTTAAAAGCAGATTCAGTCCATTTTAAGACTACTGCTCTAATGATGAAGATCGTGTAAGATTACTTGTGAACTTTAACTGCACTTTAAGACCATATCCAGCCCACTAGTGGAAGCGTCCAATGATAGCTTGGTTGCTGCCTGTGGCTCAGGCATAGTTGTAGAAGCAAGAGCCACTTTAGCTAAGGTGTTGGGTTCAACTTCTGGTGATATGTGCAGGAATCCGTCTCAATTCTGTTGGCATTTGATTGATGAATAATATGCCAAAAGGTGTGCTTAGATCTACATCTCCTGTCTGAGGTGGTCTCTCAATCACTGAATGAACACGTCTAGAGGCTGATGAGTCCAGGGGCTGCAACATGAAGAAACTTTGCCAAGTCATTTGCAATGGCTGGCTGATGTGTTGCAAAGAATGATTCCAGGCGTAAAACCAAACAGATGCGTTTGTGTTCCAAAATGGTGGTGCTTTAAATGAAACAGCTGATAAAATATTGGTATTTGTCCAGGGTTTGTTGTCTTATAGCATCCGCCAGCTGTTTAATTCCACCTGAATCCATTTATCACGTCAGGGTCACCAATGTAGTGCACTGAATATTTTGGTACTTTTCAAACTAAAAAGACTGCTGAAGTTTACCTGGACGCCTGAATTAAGCAACTCTGCCTCCATTGAACAAAATCTGACCACTGCACTACCTGCGCAACTCTTAATTATACTACCAGTTATGGAAATGAACCTATGTTACAAGTCCAAAACATATGATTGGCTAGTTAACCACTGCATTACTACTGCAATGCAACACTTTACTATAATTGTTTGAAATGTTATTACCTAGCCATTATGTAAGGTCTGCAGTGTAATAAAACAGTAATTGTTGAACGTGAAAAGTTTATGCTGATTTTTAATAGTGTGAGAAAAATTTAATTTGTCTTGGTATATAACGCAAGCAAAGTCGCTATCCTCTTGATGCCAAAAGGTTACATGTAAAGCTCTGTCTTCGGCTTTCAGCATATCAAAAACCACGACTGATTTAACCAAGATGTAGTCGTAAAATTCTAGACCCCCTCCCCCCCCCCCCCCCCCCCGTACGTCGAAGTTAAATTCAAGTTTTCCCAGAGACGCCAATGTCTAGTGAAGCGAGATATTTCTGGGTAGCGGTTATCTAAATGAACAGGCTTCAGTGATCAGCATATCACCACTGTCATAAAACATCCCTACGTATATATGACAAATAAAACACTGTCCCCCTCTCCCGATATATGTCATGAACACTTCTTGCTGGCGCTCGAGGTGTTATGGCATATATTGCTCTTGTGACAGTGTATTATCTTACACATACAATCATCTTAATTCTGAAGACGTCCCAAATTTTGTTCATCATTAGCATCGCAGACAGAGGACTGGTGAATCTTTTTATCATTAAGCAACATTTGAGTTGGAACGTAACACTTAGGCTGTGTTCCCAGAGCTTTTAGATCGATCTATCCCCGCGGGGAATCTCACTAGATTACTGTCAGATAATCCGGCTTAAATGTCCGCCCGGCTGACAGCTATTTAGCGTGAACCCCCAGGGAGTTAGGTTGATCTAAAGTAGATCGATCGAATCACTGGCAATGGGGTCTTAATCATCTGTCTCCATTGCCTCCTCTTCACGAGCGTCCTCTTCACGAGCAACCTCTTCACGAGCATCATCTTTACGAAACTGAAGTGAAGTTGACAACGACCTCAAAATAGGGACTATCCTAGAAACAATAGTGAAGCGCTTGTTGTTTCCATCTAGCTCTTTGCTTAACCCAACTATCAGCCCTATAATATGAGGGAATCCGTTTTCCATTTTATAAACAGCAGCACCAGAATCACCTTCCTTGCTAAAGTCTATATCAGAGTTGCTAGACACCAGTATCATATTGTAGAAATCCATTTTATGACCTGTACCATCTGTCAATTTGCAAAAAGTAGTATCATTAACATATTTGCCTGAAGTAAAGCCAGTTACACATCCAACTTTGTATACAATATCATCCTTTTTAAGGCTATGTACATCCAAGTAACCCATTTCATCAAATGATAATTCTTCATTCTTTCCAGTCGTTAAAGTCAAATTCTCAGTTGCCTGCGTATTAAGAACAATGGCCGCTGCTTCTACCCCATATTTCAGTAAATCATTATCCAGTTTAACATTCCCTAAAGAAGTATCGCAAACTGTGCCACAATTCCACTGCGCACTTTGTGTTTTAGCGAAAACGGGCTTATTAATTGCAGGCCTCACAAGCCCTCCGTGGTTTATGTGATCAGCATAAGTCCCAATAACGTGGTAGCATGTTAAAAAGGCGTTTCGTGTGGACTCTATGCGTTGAAAATCAAAACGAGACTTATCCATGTACATAAACACCCCGAGGCTTCCAACGTCATTTCGATCACCTAAACATACACCACATCCCACAGGAAGTTGATTTGAGTCATGAGCATCCGATTGACCTCCATTATTAGCCAAAATAGTGGCTGAACCTTCCCTAACAAGAACTGCATATTTTCCAATGCTATTTACACCAAGTTCTCTCGGAAAACCTGCTTTTTTCTCTTTGTCATTGCAGATAAACACAAAATAAGGAACTTTTTTTGTCCCATCCCCATTCACTGTGCACGAAGTATATATGACACAAAGGCTGTCGTGCTCCTTCGCCAAACCAGCTGCTCTCTTTTGAATGATGAGCTGCATTTTAGTTTTATCATCACTGGGTAAAAAATCTGCTTCTTCTGGCAGCTCAGCACCTGCAACAAACAGCTTGGTGGCTATATCACCATGACGATTATGGAGTGCCAAATATATACTACTTCTGCCTTCTTGGTCTTGTACATTAACATCAGCCCCCTTGTCAATTAGGCATGTCATAACTTGCGTGAAACCATTCTCTACAGCTAAATGTAAACAACTTCTGCCCTCGTTGTCTTGTAAATTGACATCAGCCCCCTTGTCAATTAAACATTTGACAACCTTCGTGTAGCCATTCCCTGCTGCTAAATGTAAACAACTTCTGCCCTTTTTGTCTTGTAAATTGACATAAACCTCATCATTAATAGGGCTGCTTATACCCTGATCGTAATATCGTATTGCAGATAAATGTAAATTTCTTATGCCACCAAGCAGAGACACATCGCCTGTACTACTTTTGCTGCGCTCATCTTGGATTTCTCCCAGTAAACCTGCGACTGTGTACCTTTGCACAGTTTCGAATCTGATACTTTTTGTTGTTGCTGTCAATGAGCTCAAGGAATCCTCTGTTGTATCTTCTTTATGGGATCTTCCCTCCAACAGTTTGTCGTGGTCATGTGGCACAGCGTCTGTAATAAATGGATAGACGTTAAAAAAACGGACCTGTCCAACTACCATGTGCAACAAAATGCAATTCCGATCTTCCACACATATAACAATGTTGATACAATTCACATCTTCTGCACAATCATGTTTCTGGTATCACATCAAACTTTATCACGGGAGCATCTTTACTCTAAGGTAATTTTATTGAAATAAGATTGTTATGGCCTGCAATTCAGTAAATTAAAAAAAATATTTTGCGAGCCCCAAACTTTGCGAAACATTACCTATAGCTTTCACAAAAACAAACAAACAAACAATAAATAAATAAATAAATAAATAAATAAATAAATAAAGAACTGGCAATGAAAATGCTGATATCGAAATTAATCAAAACTTGGTGACAGATACGTGTCTCCCGAACCTTATTTATATCTTCTACAATTAACCCTTTTTTATAATCCAAAACAATTGGTACATGTACAGTATATCATTTGCAATCGGGAGGGAGGGGTCGGTCCCTAATGTGGATATTGTCTGGCACCCAGCGTCAAATGTTGCAACCGATATGATTGTCATGCCATTTTAAACTACTATGCAAAACTCGAATGGATTTTGCAAGTTAAATTTTATACTTAACGATCCTCAGTTCCTTACAATGACAAATACGTGGTAGTTGAATGTAGTGAAAATACTGGCTATTAGCCGGAGAGGCTACCATTTTCTTTCTATTTTGAGGGCTTTTGACACCAGCGTCTCAATATTAGGGCTTATTGTTACATCCGGGTCTCATCCAGCATGTACCTCATTCATATGCAAATTGCAAACCATTACACAACTCTGGAAGCCACAATTCTAACCGAAGTCGTCAAAATTCAACCCGTAGGTATATTCTCTCACGTTAGCGAATGTGCTATCCTATCGCAACTGGCCAAGTTAGAAAGTGTCTAAGTAAAGAATGAGGTACCCCAATCCTCGGCCACACCAAATAAAAACCGGAAAATTGTTTTGATTGTTTTAGTTTGGATTGGAAGTTTTGACGTCAAGTGGAAGTTAAGCTAGCTGGTCAGTTTTAGCTGGAGGTACATGGTGTAATAGTCTGTTGGGAAGGAGGGTTTTATGTGCAACCCCGTGAAAAACAGTGGATACATATATATGTTCTTAACCCTTGATGTCTAAATTTTTTATTTCTAGATGTTCCAAGAACGAAAAATGTCATAGACGATTTTAATTTAATGACATGTAACACCCTGTGGCTCAAATAATCACATTTGAAATAATGGGGGTAGGAAAAGAAAATTACCTATAGTTTGCAATTAATAAGATATAACAATGCTTTATATATTATTTTGTAGCTAAGAGGTTGCTCTAAAAATACAAGTAAAAAATATGTTATACTGAACCATGTCTAAGTATAATGGTGTCAAAGGTCAAATGAGGTCAAATTTGAGACATTTTCAGAAAAATAAAGCAATAAAGTTTATCTGCATAGAGACTGTGAGTCAACAACATACTTTTAAGGTATATTTGATAAATACCATCTATATTACAAATGCTTAATGGTCATTTGTGACTTAGTTTTAAAGTTTGTGAGAATTATGATGGATATGATTAGCGCATTGGAGTATCAGTTACATTTCAGATCAGTGGGGATAGGGGAAAATCACTCACTTGAAATTTGAGTAAGATATAACAATAATATATATATCATTGTATAGCTAAAGGCTCGTTTTAAGAACAAAAATAATGAAAATTATGTTATTCTAAACCATAATCTGTAGTTTATCATCTACAGTCTGAAATGAGAGTAAAAATTATGTGGTATTAGAAAGATGTCAAGCAGGGACACTGTCTAAACAACATAATAATTCAGCACAACCATCGTAAAAATAATACAACAATAACTTGCCTACCCGCCATCACATCAAGAGCAGAAGGTTAAGTTAACACAGCTCTTTACTTATCCACCTACTAATCGACCGTAGCCGGAGTGTTGTTGATGTCCAATGATTCAAGGCGATACATGACCATGCGTAACACCCCATATACAGACTTGACATTTAATATGGAATATTTCAGTTTCGAAGGTGTGCCTGGGTAAAACTTCTTGGGTATGCCTTCTTTTTTCAAAAAACTCCGATCTCATATAAGATTTGTGAATGGATAAGTATGTAGTCGGGTGTATCGCTACCAATTAACTGACATTAATGCCTGTTGCGCAGCTACATAATGTAATATACAGTGATTTAATTGGGTGTTCCTTTGGGCTGGTCAAAGCTTGGCTTAGGCAAAGCTTAGTTCTGTCAAAAAAGTATCCATATGTCGGCAACTGCTGCATAGAATAATTTGAAATTTTGCATGCAAGCGGTCAGTTTTGCAGTACGTAAGATGAGTCAAAGAGGTGCATTACAAATATGTTAATCTATGGCAGAATGGCGCGAAAAAGACAGACATTACCAGACAGATCATAGCGCCAAACAGAACGGACCCCACAGTTTTATAGAGTACTGCCCAGACTGATGTACCTACACAGAGGTCACCCCCAATGTATCAAAATCTTATCTACAGGGTACAGGACCTACTGTCTTTCGGATTACGCTGCTGCAACTAAACAAAAAAACACTTAGTTCGTTCAGGACGAGGGGTAAATTGCCACCAAAATGCGTTTTTCAAAGCACTTAGCGAACACCAAACTGGTTTTTGCAGATAAGAACACCAAACGACCTCCGAGGCACCCACTGTAAACAGCAAAACATCGTCGTCTGTTTCTCTAATGAAATGGGGGCCATGACCGTTTCTGGGTAGAACACTGAAACTGTGTGGCTTTCTTGATTGAGGTCAGATTTCACCTGTACCGCCGAATTAGTCAAAACAGAGTTTACAGATATCCAGAAAATGCCTACGACGAAGCATATACCGGGTCTCAAGTGACAAGGGTGATTGACAGCGTCAGTATTTGGAGTGGATACCACATTGGTGCCAAAACACCAATGGTAGTCATCGATGAAAACCTGAACCAGATCAAATTAAGGAATAATTTCGGAACCAATTGACTATCATTTGATAGGGGGCACCTTAGGAACAATTTTAGGTTGCACGGTGAGGCTGCCGGTTCACACAGAACACTTTTAATAGCAGACAACTTTCAGAACCAAGGGAATGGGCAGCTACCCTGGTCATCAAAATACCCATATTTGAACCACAGAGACAATATTTCGGTAGGCCATTACTCGCCGAATCAACTGCCTACATGTCCTACAACAAAACTGGACCAAATTGGACAATTTTAGACCGATGCCTGGAATATCATTCCAGATTGAACTCTAAAAACCTACCCCAAGGAATGCCTTGCCGCTTGAGAGCGCTGGTAACAGCCAGAAGAGGCCAGGCGTAACAGCGACCATTACTGTGACTAATAACTAATATGAGGGTCCTTTGTGGAGCGTATAACTCTTTTGCAGACGATAATTTGGAAAATATGGAGATCCAAAATATCTATTTTAATGGAAGTCGTACCACTGTATGACATAGAATAGGCAATGTGTTTTTGTTTGCTTCTCTGGCGAATTCCATCAATGAATTGATGCCACAATAACATCAAAGAGATAATTTAAAGTTATTAAAACACGATTTTAATCCTCATTTTCATTTATCAATCAGCAAAATAGGAAAGAACTGATAAAGATTACTTGGAAAAAATATTCCATATTAAATGTCAAGTCTGTATATGTACCGGTGTATCACCTTCATATCAGATACTGTGACACCACCTGCGCACTCAATAGGAGAAGAATATGTTTTGAACTCAGCATCCAACTTGGCCAATAATTCTTTACTTACGGTACTTACCTGGGTTTCTTCTAACATCAAATAGTGCCTGTTGGTCCTAAAATATGAAATTTACAATTAAATTTACTCTTAGATATTTTGTCATATTAACATTACTTTGTTCTTATATATCTGTTTTCTCAAAGACGTTTTGACGGAATGATTTGACATATTTTTGCAATTACATACGTGCTGAAGACGTAAAACTGCATGACAGGAAAACAACAATAGAAGACAAAAGAAAATGTTTCTGTAAACAAATAACCCAGTGAGATAGAAAGGGGAGATAGAAGTGCCTGTCTAGGAAATGAAATTTATCAGTCATGACTATTGGCTAACGTTTCCTTTTATTCATAAACAATAATAATATAATCAAATAACATATAATTTATTTAATCAATTATCCATTGTTTAGATGCACCATATGTACAATTATTTAGTCCCAAAAAACCTAGTGCATGTTGTCAACCAACTTACTCCAGGACATTTTGCCTTTATAACAGTGTCCAACACAAACCTTATCCGTGATATTAGTATCATCTCCACGCTTCAAGAGAATCTTCACGATTTCACCGCGACCGAACAATGCTGCCTCATGTAATGGAGTTCTGCCATACTGGTAACAATAAATGGTCAGCATAATATTGTAATTTCCGATATCGTCTTTCTTCGCATCTTATTATTATATTTTGTATGTGTGCAGACAATTATAACAATGAAATGAAATGAGTTTTATATAGCACTGTAATGACAGCTGTTCAAATTTTACCACATAATCTTAAGGATGAGAAGTCATACAGTTATTGCATATATAGGTATAAATGTGTATTTTGCTGTTTGTATTTGATGTCCTGTCTCATGCTGCCGTAAATAAAGTTAGGCGTATTGTTTATTTCAATGAAACAATTGTATCTAAAAAAAACCAAACCCAGTGTATTTTGCCTATATATGTAACAGTATGTGTCACAAACCTGATCTGTGAGGTAACGATCAGCTCCACGCTGCAGGAGAAGATTCAGGATGTTTTCATGGCCTTCACGTGCTGCCCAATGTAAAGGAGTACTGCCATCCTGGTAACAGCAACATATCATCATAAAAACATCGTATCTTTTTGTCTTTCATTACATTTTATCAATTTATTTTATATCCTTAGACGTGCCGCTGACACAAAAATGCCATATTAAAGTTGCAAATAAGAGGAAGGCGAGATCATATTGCGGTTTGCAGAAAAGCAAAACAAATGAATACTCTAAGTGTGCATTTAAATTGGTTCAGGTAGGTGCTATTTTGTGTATAGCTGTGCATTGTCGACCAACGGAAAAATGAGAATGAAAAATGAAAATGAGTCAAATATTTATTTGTAGCTTTTTAAATATGTATTAAAATACATATTAGCCAACTCTAAAAACTATGTATAACCCCGCTCACTACATGCAGTGCCGCCGGAATCTAGCCTTACCAAAAGGCTGCATGGACTCCTAACCATGCATCTCATGGCCGAACAATAGAGCCCGCATAATTATTACAGGGTAAGAGAATCGGCAAGTAAATCCTATTTAGAAAAATATTTGGAATGCACTCAGAATTTTTAGAATGTGTTTAGAATGCTCTTCGAATATCCTGGAATGCACAAAGAATTGTATTTCAGACGCCATTCTTAATCATTCCACCTCTAGTGTGACGGGGATTTTATATCCCGCCAGAATGTTTCGAATGTGCCTCGGACGAGCTGAAATATTAATGTTGCCAGCAATTGAACTACACTACTAGTGCGCCGTTCAAAGTATATTCTAAATATTCTTACTGCCTTCTTACAGCATTATAAATATTCCTACTGTAGTTTTCCAACTACATTCGAACTACCCCCCCCCCCCCCCCCCCCCAAGGTGTTGCAGTGTAAAAGCAGCATAGCCGATTCTTACGGACATTCGGAGGAGGGAGATGTTGAAACTTCGCCTATTTTGTAACTTTCTTGTTATATACACGTAGTGGAAGGTTGCTTAGACACACTGTAGATAACATCACACGTATTCGTTGAGAAACTTAAAATTGCAGCTAAAGAATCGATGAAATTTGGAGGCAAAGAAGTCGCTATTGTCGATTTGTGCAGATTTAGAGAACTTCGACAACTTCAGAGTCCACGATACCACCGACTTTTCATTCTATAGGATGATGATAAACAAGCGACGTCATCTCAGGCAGTAAAGAAGTATGAGGAAGCTGAGAAACAAGGCAGTCCTGCTGAAGAAAGTAAGTCAACATATTGCAATGTGTTTTTTAGTGAGCCCCGATCGTGTGATGTGTACATGAACCTGTACATGGCTGATGTTAGATGTACATGTCACAGGCCCAGACCACATTTAGTCATATGCCTAAGAAGCCTGCCCTGAGTGTCAGGGCACAGTAAAAGCTAGCTTGTTCACTATTAATACCTTGTCATGGGATCGCTTTTAGAGGCCCTGAGGAACAGCGACAATGTTCGGTTTCCGTCAATCAAACTGATCCGCATATTATATGGAGTTTAATGTCACCAGTACAAAATGAAACGTAAAAGAGATTTAATTTTGATTTATTTAATTTTATTTACTGTTTATCAGATGAAAATTGAAAAAAAAACAACATATTTTTAAAGAAAAGAGATACATGTATATCAGATGATTTGCATCTTTTGCTAATCAAAGATATTTGCTTCTGGAGATATAAACATAATACATGTGCTTGTTGTGTGCCAAGCTTGACAGCTAAATTGTATGTCCGATACCACTATAAAGACTGCGCAAAGGCTAGGCCTACACCAAAATCAGTTTTTAAATCAAAGGTTGTTTGTGTTGTGGCACTGACCTTGGAAAGCAAGATATAGCAAGATATAGTTCAAACTTCACACCTCCAGGCGGCACAGAGCTGTGACGTACGAGACTTGTGACTTCCAAATATGGAAGCGCCACAGGCAAAATTTAAGCTAATTGGCCAAGCTACCAGTTTGTTTGTATGGCATGTGTAGGTCATGCCTTAGACCGAGGCACATATTATGATACTTACAGGTGTCGTAAATGAGATATATTTTATTATTTGTGATTCGTAAAACACATAGACTCGCCCTTCAAGAAAACCGGAAGTGCGTGTTTTTTGCACTGTTTTTCCTGTCATGCCCATCGTAAACACTGTGTTGTCAAGTAAAATGAAGCGTCTGATACAAAGTATCAAACGCTGGCATTCACGTGCTTGCTTGCTTGCGATGCGTTCAGTACACTTTGTTTACACTGACAAGTCGAGGTCAGAAATGCACAATGTTTTTCTATGTAATTACGCAGTTTCAATTTTGATTAGTGAATTTTCTTTTATCTGCACGGTCATTTTCCGAACATTTGTATAAGCCACGAAGTATTTCTCATTGGAAAATCACCCAACAGCTTTCCAAGTACAAGCGAGTGACGTCATGACGCACTTCCGGTTTTCGTCGAGATCTTGAAGGGATTAGCGTTACGGTTTGCTGCACATTTAAAGCGTTCTTTCTCAAAATGTACTCAACTGCTTGGATTGAAATTTACAGAACTTATTCTTCACATGATATCACACATATGTGCTTAATTTGAGAGCTTTAGCTGTTATATGTTAATAAGAGTATTGGATGAATGGACCGAGGTAATTGACAATGGAGCCGGGATAGATTGTATTTATATGGATTACCAAAAGGCTTTTGATACATAGCCTCCTCAGAGACTTCTGAAGAAGCTGGAGGCGTTCGGCATAGGAGAGGTAACACTAGAATGGACAAGGCACCATTTGAGTGGGAGAAAAAACGGAGAATAAACAGTAAACGGAGCTTCGTCTTCATGGAGAGATGTGACGTCTGGCATCCCTTGAGCAGGAAACGGTGATTGGCCCACTATTGTTTGTCATTTTTATTAACGATCTTCCTGACATTGTAGAATCTTCGGTGTACCTTTTTGCAGATGAGACTAAAATATTTAACACTATCCATAGGGAGGGTGACAAGGATACCCTACAGAAGGACTTAGATAGACTCACAGACTGGAGTAAAACTTGGTTGCTACGATTTCACCCGGAAAAATGTAAACACATGCACCTAGGCAAACATAACCCACATCAGGATTTCAAGTATAACATTATGGATAACAACCTAGAAGTAGTCACAGAAGAAAAGGATCTAGGAGTCATAATTGATAATAATTTATGCTTTGAAAAACATATTAGTGAAAAATGCAAGAAGGCCAACTCTATGTTCGCAATTATCAGAAGAATATTTCAACATTTGGACTCTAAGACATTCCTACCTCTCTATAAATCACTAGTACGTACTCACCTGGATTATGCAAGCTCAGCATGGGCACCACACAAGAGCAAATTCATTGATCAAATTGAGTGAGTGCAGCGTAGGGCTACAAAACAGTTACCGGGTATGAATAACCTTAGTTACCCAGAAAGGTTACGTAAACCTGGTCTACCAACACTTAGCTATAGGAGGGTGAGAGGGGACAAGATTGAGATGTATAAACTAGTCACTGGGAGATACGATGAATCAACTAGAGATTTTATCAAATTATAGTCCAGTCATTCACATAGGTCTGGTAATAGAGGAAATTGTTTTAAGCTATTCCCTCAAAGAGCCAAATTAGACTTTAGAAAATACAGCTTCACTGTGCTTACAACACAAATATGGAATAGCCTACCCGATCAAGTTTCCAGGGCAAAAAGCCTCAACTCTTTTAAGAACAGATTAGACAAGTGGTGGTATGACCAGGAAATCAAATATGACAATTATAGGTCCGAAATCAACATCATCGGAAGTCACAAGTTAGTTTTGGAGGAAGAGCCAGATAAAGAGGATCCAGTAGGAACCTGAATCGGAAATCAACGCTAATCTAATCTAATCTAATCTAATCTAATACGTTTTCTACAGTGCCCATTCAAATTTGAAAAAGAGCTATTTTCCGTCGATTTCTTGAAGGGTAAGTCTATGAGGGTGATACTTATTAAAGATGTTTAATGTTTAAAGAAAAGGCTTGTAGACTGATTTAGTAATACTCACTAAAGAAATGTTAAATAACAGGCGGGCTTCCATTTGTTAGTGTGTTATTTTAATTAGCTGGATTTTATCACTCTTAAAGGTGGTTTTGACCAACCTGATCACAGTCAATGCAATCTGTTGCCTACCTGAGTTTTTCACAGCTGATTGATTAAATTTCACTTGATTAATGAAGATCACAAGATTTCCATGAAAAAAACACCAGAAATGAATGATCATGCAATCACAGTCACTGCGCCATTATATTTGTTTATGTTTTACGACTACCGTCAGTGGTCTCCCTCTCCGACCACCATCTTTGTCACGTTGACACATTGTTGAGCGTTAGTAAACTTTATCTCCAAATACAAGTTGTTTTACTTATTGGCGTGGTAGCAGCGACCAGTAATCCACTCCGGAGACCCTAACAAACCAGGATCTGCTAGCGGCTTGTAACTTTTAGAGAAGAAAGAAGTGCTAACTAGTCATTTAAAGACCACCTGTACCGTATTTACGCATGTGAGTACACGTGTTCACGTATATAAAGATGACAGTGGGAGCTCCAAAACAGTGTCAGCTTACCAAGAAAGAAACTATAACGTCTTACGAAAACTGGCGAAAGAATTTAGTTTACATCCTTTCTTTAGATGCCAACTTTACTCCCTTCTTAGCTGATGGATCAACGTGGCTCAGAAAAACGGCTGCTACTCCCCTACGAGGACTTACTGACGACCCAGAAGACGTGCCTGAACAAAGGCGCTTATCCGCTGTTCAGAAAAATGCTCACTTGGAACTTATGCTAGGGCAAATTGCAAACTTCTGCCCCGTGGTTTCAAGAAACTCAATAGTTATAAATTCTACCTCATTGAACAACATTGGCAGCAGATTAGACAGCACTTTGGCTTCGCGTCAACCAGAGCGCATTTTCTTGACCTAAGTAACATAAACTTACAACCTGATGAGAGACCCGATGATTTATTTCAACGTTTGGCAGCCTTCTTTGAAGATAATTTGCTAACAGTTGACAGCGGGAAGATATGACCCCTACTTTGGAAAACACAATAG